CAGACATACCCCACCTTATATAAACTCGATTTGTTGTTAGGTTCTAGTAAATTACATTGCTCTACTTACTATTTCTGCATTCATAACACGTATTTTAATTACTAAGGTTTTATAAGTCTTAATTCTGGTAGGTGAGATGAGAACCTTGATCTTCCTCTTTAAAATTGCCTCAGTTAGTCCATTTTCCCCCAAGAATTTCACCATTTTGTCACAAGGTCTGTGCAAACCCTGTTAAGGCCATGGATTTGCTTCCCCACTATCCCTAAATTGTATCTTTTGAATGTTTTACTTAAATTATTGTCTCAGAAGTTTGTCCATTTTGTTAGCCTTTTCAAGGAGTCTACTTTTGGTTTTGTTGAATCTAATTTTTATTATAGTTTCTTTTATGAGCCATGAATTATTTAGGAATGTTTTAAATTCAAATTTTCATTACATTTTCATCAGACATGTTCTGCAGATGGATTCTGAGTCTTTCCTTGTGGCTCTGTCCCTCGAAGATCTTTGTAAATGTTCTGCATGGGATTGAAAAGCATGTGATTTCTCTAACCTTCATGTACAGGATATATATAATTATTGAGTAATGGAAATTAAAATCCCTTACTGAAATTGTCAGTTTCTGCGTTCTTTCTAGTGAGTCTAGTTTTATTTATTTGTTTTGAGGCTATGTTCTAGGCACATATGGGTTCAAAATTATTGTCTTTTTGGTAAATTCATCCATCCTTTCATTATTAGGAAGTAATCCTCTTTATCTCTAAGAATTTCTCATGCCCCTCTTTAAAGTTAACTTTGTTGATGGTTATATGTGTTTTGCTATTGTTATTATTAGTATTTTTCAGATACTCTTCTCTGCTTCTATGGTGTTCCAGGAAAAGCATTGTACCCCTCCCACTGCACTGGCTAATAAAATAGTGGGTAGCTGGCAATTCTTGGTCTTTGTTCCCAGACAACATTGATCATATTTGCTGGCAATTCTTGACTCTTGCTTCTTTTCTTTCTCACCATACATCATAACTCAGAGCAGGAGATTAGGGACTCACTTAACTGGCACTGTGGAAAAGGTCACCAAAAATCCGAATTGATCATCATCATCACCATCATGATCATGATGATTTTTTTATGACCACTACTCACTCAATTTTATCCATACTTGTATCAGTGATATTCCCTAATGTTGTTCATTTTATCTCACTTCTTCCTTCTGGGTTCAATTTCCTTTTTTCCTGAGATAATAACCTTTAGCTGAAAATGACTGGCTTACCTGTTTTATGCCTTCACCCCCCCCTTTTTTTTTTGCAGTACTGGATTCAAACCCAGGGCCTTCCCTATGCTATACATGTGCTCTACCACTGAGCTGTGTCCCAGCCCTTTTTGTTTTATTTTGAGACGAGGTCCTGCTATTTTGAGAGTATCCAGGCTGCCTTGAAGTTGAAGTCTTTCTGCCTTAGCATCCTGAATACCTAGGATTACAGGTCCATTCCACCATACCTGGCCATGCCCTTAGTTTAAAATGGTCGCTTAAATGCTTCTAGATTTTTTGTCTAGGGTGAAAGGGGGAGAGGAAGGCTAACAGCTAAATAGTGTAAACTGAGTTCTAATCCTGCCCATATCCTCAGTTTTCAAAATGAACTCATCTGGGGCTGGGGAGTTAGCTCAGCGGCACAGCGCCTGCCTGGCAAGCGCGAGGTCATGAGTTCGATTCCCGGTACCGGAAACCCGCCCCCGTCAAAAACAATAAATAAAATGAACTCATCATTGCTGTGTCCTGCACAGGTCAGCAGGAGAGATTTCCTCATTCATTCCCTGGATACTGTGAGAAACGTCTCTCTATGGTTGGAATGATCCAACGTGAGCCTCCTGAGCCACTTGGCTGATGGCAAGCCCTGCTTCTGTGCCTCCCGCCCCAGTTGGTCCCCAGCTTTCAGGCTCCTGTGCATCTAGCTGGCGGAGATTTCTCCACCTTTAGAGTTTAGATTTAGGTGTTTAATGGATTCTGGGACTGCTTTTGCATTGCTTCATTCTGCCTCTCTGGGGACCCTCTAAGAACAATGCATTTTCCTTTTCACAATGTGTTTTACAACTAGTTAAATATTTAAAATAGTTAAATCTATGTCAGTATTTGAAATAGTTAAGACAGTACTGAAAAATGAAATTCCAGTGTTTCCATTTTCAACGTCTGTTTCTGGGAAACCTTAAATATCTGGTAAGTATGTTTTTTAAAACAGATGCTCTATTGTGTCTTTGGAATCCACAGTTATTGACCACTCAGGCCTGAGACGAGGCCCGGCATGAGGCAGAGCCTCCGTGGTAGCTTGGCTAGCCCTTTGCAGATGCATTCGAGTGACTGCCCAGGACAGAGCCTGTGCGGTCCCCTTTCAGGATAGCGGACATGCATACCGGTGTATTCTCCACAAATGCTGTTAATTTGTGTCTTCAGAGAGGCTGGGCCAAGTAAAGTGGTCAGGGAAGAGCAATCATTATGTTCTTTTCGTATATTGGCTGGTTGCATTTCTTTTTCCTTTTAGGTAAAAGGCAATTACTGAAAACTTTCTATGATATGATGTTGTAGAAACAAAATCCCTAATAGTTTGTATCTTAGTTTTTTGTTGTTGTTGTTTCTTGGAAAAAATACCCAACACCCACAAGTTAAGGAAGGAAAAATTTATTAAGCTCACACTCTGTAAAGGTTTCAGTCCGTGGTTAGCTAGCTCTAAGCAGGGTGGCATAGCAGAAGGGCATCACAGGGAGTAACAGTCCACAGGAGAGCAGATAGCAGGCAACAGCAAGCAAGCAAGCAGCAGCAGTGAGCCTGCCTTCTTTCTGTCCCTTTATATTCCATCCAGGCCACAGCCTATTGATTAGTGCCACCCACACCCAGGGTGGGGCTTTCATTATCCACACCCTCCCTTAGTCGCAGCATCACACATCCTAGACCCACCTAGCTCACAAAAGTCCCTCCTATAAGTGCATGAGGCTTTTGGGGAAACATCTAGGTGCAAGCCATAACAGCTTGTTGGTATGACTATAAAAGCGCATAGCCATTTAATTCTTTCCACAGTGAGTTAGCCTTTGCTATGTAACAGACCACTCCAAAAATAATAAATACTTCAAAATAATACTTCTGTGTATGTGAGTTAACTGTGCAGTTCTTCGGATCTGGGGCAGCTCTGGGCTGCCTGTGCCAGGGTGGTTTTATTTACCTGTTTGGGCAGCTGATAGGCTGCTCAGTTGGGGCGAATCTTGGCTGGAACATCTGCTCCACAAAGTCTGTCAGCCTTCAGCAAGGACATCAGCCTCCCAAAGAGCAGCAAGAGGAGGCAAGCTGTGCACAGGCCTTTGCCTGTGGGATGCTTGTCTGTGTCCCATGGCCTGAAGCAAGGCCAGAAGTCTGCATTGCTTGATGGGAGGAGATGAAGAGTACATTGCTCAGAGTGTGCACAGAGGGATAGCGATCATGTTTTAGGGCATTGTTGTCATCTACCATACGTTCTGCTTGGTGTTTGTACTAGTGGATCACCTGCACATGTAATGCATTAAAATGTGTAAGTCAGTCTCCCTTTTTACAATAGAAAAACATGGGAAATTACTGCAATGAACATTAGTTGATGAGTGGTATTAGCGCTATTGAATAGCACAAATTATTTATGGAGAGTGTGATAGTTTCTTGTATATGGTCTTTAAAATACATATTTTAAAATGAAAAGCTGGTTGCTGAAACATACACACCATATGCCTTCCAATACACACGCAAAACTAAATCCTACATGTACATTATGTCATCCATATGCATAACAGTGTTCATAAATATGCACACTAGATTGATTACAAGAGTTACTTCTGTGCAGGGGGTGGATTGGGAGATGGTCCTTGAGAAATTTTGTTTCATTTTGGGTATCATTTGTACTTTTTACAAAAATGAATGCATTCATTTATTGTTTGCTTAAAATAAATAAAACATTAACTTCAAGCAAGGTGGAACAGTAGAACGATTCAGTCCTACCTTTCAAGCAGTGTCGAATATGGCACTGCGTTATGCATGGGCTTGTTCTCTCCTTCACTCACTTCTTTGCTGCTGTCACACATGCTGCTTGGTTGGAGCTTTCAATGAGTAACCCACATGCATGTAAGGGTGAGCTTCTAGAATTTATGCTCTTAAAAATAAGAGGTGGATGGAGGTGGGAGTCAGGGAAGGGAAAGAAGAAAAAAGAGAATTCAGATGTATCATGTACTAATTCCCCACAAAGAATGTGAACATTGTATACTACAAGCAATAAAAAATTACATACTAAACACAACATTTAGCATCATCATTATGGTGCACCAAGGGCCAACCAATAGAATTCTTGCCTGTGTAGGTTGGAGGCATGCTTACAAATATCACACAAAATGTTATGGTATCATTTTTCTTCAATAATTTCAACATAGTCTGAAGTTAGTTGCTAATTCCTTTTTTATGAGGAATCCAAAATCTACTGGGTTATAATTTGAAAGCTGTCAAATATACATTAAATTGTTCTGTTTCCTGTCCATGTCAGCCAAAAATCTTTATCTTTTAAATTTTCTAATGTTTCCACAGTGTAGAACAGAAGTTAGTGCATTGTCTGAAGGGACTGACTGACCATTTAATAATTATCTGTCTATATCAACAGATTGTTAATATTCAGTTTCATGAGGAGGGAATATTGCCAGTCAAAACACCAAGGTTATCTCTTTGGCATGCCTATAGGACTTACAAAAAGCAGGACAAAAATGCTTCATTTTATTGACCAATTAGAATAGAAATAGAAATGATGAATAAAAACTTTTAGGGGTTGTAACCACATATTTAAGAAACTGCCGAACATCAGTGATTATTATATTATTTTCCCTGTTGATTTCTTGTATCTGTGCCTGAAATATGCTTATACAAAGTATTCAATTGTTATTTCAAAAGAAAAATTTTAAACTGCTGTGATAAAATACAGTTTTATGGAAAAACTTCTGCAACATGCAAATGACCTTTCTCATGTGCTCACTTTTAAAAATTTTGTTTTTCTCTCCTACTGTTTTTCAGTGTATTTACGTAGAACACACACACCTGCCATTATTCATTAGATCTTTAAGGAGGACCAGTTCCCCTCAAGGATAAAGTAGATTTTGTTTGGAAAGACTGTCCCCCTTTGTGGAAAGGTTAGCATTTTAGTTTTTTAGTTTGATGTCACACAGCCACTAGTCATGCCTTCTTTTCTGCACATCTACCAACTACAAGGTCATAATGTCTTTCCGTAAGATCCCATACATATCAATGTGGGTGTGGGTGGTTTCCATAGGCTTCTGGACTCAGAGATGTGTGTGTGTGTGTGTGTGTGTGTGTGTTTCTTATTCAAGTTGTAATTTTTAGAGTATTGTGTATCCTTTGTAGGTGGTATTGTAGCAGTGAGGTGAAATCGTATTGCAACCAGTGCAGATGTAAGACATTTCACTGTTAACATCTAAACTTTTCTTCAAGCTTAGTGGACAGTGCAATAGACCAGATAAACTAGTTTGTTAAAAGCCAGAGAACTATGGAATTATTTCATAAATTAATTGTAAATTGACCATTCCTTATTGGCAGCAGCAGAAAGTACAGCATTTGATCTGACAAAGAGTACTCAAGAAAGTAGAATTTTTCAGATCGTTTCCCATATGTCAGTGAAATAATAATTTATGTGTAATACTTTCTTTGTTAACAGCTTCACTGATTGTTAAACATTTGGATATTATAAGGAGACTTCTATAAATATTTAGCTTTGAGTTCACCTAGTTTGCCTGAAAGTGAATGCCATTTGTTCTGAAGCTGCATTGCTTGTCCAAATAAATGAAAACAGTTTAAATCCACTCTACTACTAAAAGTTTCAATTAATAGTGACAGTTAGTTAGTTTCTCAGTTATTTCTGAGAAGGTATTTTTTCTAACAAGTCCAATTTCCATTCAGCAAAGATGATTTATTGGCTTCATTTCGGTAGGCATTGTTTTCATATTTAGAAGGCTATTTTGTCTTATTATATTAAAAGAGGATAGACTTGTACATGGAGAAAATATTGATTCTGACTTCTCTAAAGGCCTTTCATTATCTTGTATACTGTTTTATTGACACACTGCAATTTATGTGTGATAGCTTGGAGCTCTAATTCTCCTCACTTCTATTTGCCTCCTCCTGGGTTTATTTACATGCAGCATTGCTGCTAATTAGCTTTGGGGAGGAAGGCAGATTTCTATATGTCCTCTTGGTTGTGGCCCCATGAGGAGCTGGTCCCCATACCTGGGAAGAGCTTCCTCTTTCCCACATTACTTCAGTAAACAGAGTCAGTCCCTCAGTGACCAACTGCTGTGTTCACAGCTTCTGGTGAGGAACTGAGCAATTTGCCAAATTAATTTTGTCCCCTTCAAGGTACTTCTCGGTGGGTAATGCCTACATATATACACTCTTCACTGGATGAATTCTTTAAAACGTGCTTTCCTAGGTGGAAAAGTTGAAGATGAAAAAGGGTCATTTTTCCTGCCCCATGTGACTGATTTTTATAGTTCATTAAAAATTGTTCCTGTGGGGACATTATTATGGAAATGCCTCTGGAGATCTTTGGCTAATTTTGAATTCATGGAACACAAGATATATTCATTTGTTTACCTTCCAGAATTTTCCTCTGGTCACCTGATTGTAACAAGGGAGACAACAAGCATTTCCCAAAGGACCAGCCCTTAGTGGCCACTATGTCCTCAAGCCCTAGGAATCCTCACTGTTGGGACCAACAGAGGCACATCTAGCTGATTGTTTCCCCAGGTAAGGCCATGACGACATTGCCGGAAGTCAGCCAAGAAGTGTGACATTCTGAGTTCAGCTCCCTGGGCATGTCAACTCATGCATATACATCTCTCATGGGTAATGCAGTGATTTTTGCAGACTTGCCTATATACAATATCAATAAATATGGAAACGAAGGCTTCCAGTCTCACTTCTGATGAAGCAATATGCTGTCTAACTTCAGTTAATTATAAGGTTCTTAGTGTTGAAAGACAAAGATATGCTAATCTTATTAAAATATGCCTGATTAAATTTAGCTATAAATCCATTCAGGGACTACTGCTCTATCCATTGTTCCATGTCGGCGTCTGTGAAGGAAACCACCCACTGCGCAGCACACAGACTTACTAATTTAGAAAGGTGAAAAGTTTAATTGTGAGTCTATTTTCTGGGGAAAAAGTAAGACAAGGGTGAATTCTTAATTTTTTTGTTTATTTAGATTAAACTGACTGACTTCACATTGCTTACATTTATATTACTCTGATGGTAAAAAAAGCTTTTAACATCTTCTCAATTCCATTTGAATTAAAGTTGTTTTCCATACATACCAGTGAAGGAAAGAGCTGTGAGTAGAGTTCACCTCTGTTTAGATGGACTCAACCAATTTTTCATGTTCCAGATAATTAAAGAGGATAATGTTTTGAATTTGTGGCTAAAGACTCAACTAAGGATTTAGACACCAGGCATTTTAATCCTGACATTTTTGCTCCTGTCGGTAATGTACTCATCTCTGAGCCTTTCAGTATCTCAGTTTGCTTATATGTAATCTGAAGTAAAACAATGGTGTATTTGAAAAAGAGCTTTAATGTTTTTTTCTTTCAGAATAAATAACTATGCTTTATAGGACATTTATAAACATCCATATATGGAATATAAAATTTAGATAAATATATATTTATTAATACATACAATATCATCCATAATCCAACCACTCAGAGATAGAGATTCCATTTGACTAGATTCCAGAAGCTACTTAGCCATCCACCTGTGTATCTAGCTGCATTGTGTATATGTCCAACCATCCATTAATAAGCCCCAGCTCACACAATACCATGTGTATCCGAATACTCCATGATATCCTCTCACATTATTAGATGTTCTTTGGTATCATGATAATACTTCTATCTTTAGAAAAACACAAACTATATTGAACCAGGATGATATTGTTAGACATTCTTTCTGTGTCAGTCACCTCAGTGTTGCAGTGAAATCTCTGTATGATTTCCTTAGCTTGCTTTAAATTGATTGTGATAATGTGCTTTAAAGACACATGCATATATCTCATTATGGTGTGGTAATAAAGATATTTTCAATAAAACCAAGACATTTAGCTATTTTCTTATTTTAACGTTATGATGTTTGGATCTACTTAACATAATTATTCAGCTGTTTACACTGATTGCTGAAAGCCTGTTTGTACCCAGTGACATTAGCAGCATAACTGAAAGTTAGAAGGTCTTAGTCCTTAGTAATGATCACATGTAGAAGTGGCTTAAGTCTGGGATTTCTTCCTTTAAATTCCTATTATGGGAGAAATTATTCTCTAGAGAAAATATTTTGAGTTTCTCTCATGGGATAAATATTATGCCTGACTTGCAAGCCTGCTTAGAGGACTACATGAGGTCTTATTTATAAAAGGAACAGAGGTAATGGTGGCTGTCATGTGCATGGTTTCTGGGAGTCCTTCATTCCCCTCACTGTCCTGTCACTTATTTGAGATAGTTTTGACTCAGTAGATTGACTCTCAATGAAATGTCCTGGTTTAAGACGGAATATTGGTTTATTGGAAATCTACATGGCTGCATGGATGGGTATAGCTGCTATCTTAAGAGCTTAGCCATGTGTTCAGCACTGCTGAAGTGTCACATCCAGCCTCTGGGTCGAGGCTCAGGCTGCAAGAGATAGAATATGTCCTGCCATGAAGTGGGGTAACCTCCTGGAAGCTGGAGGGAGGTCCGTGGCTACCACATGTAGTGGTGGATCTTGGGCGGAGTGTGCAGAGGAGGTGATGTGGGAAAGGCTTTCTGGACAAGGTAGAAAATGGAGGAGGCATCCAAGGGATGGCAAGTGGAGTGGTCAGTGAGGGACAGGAAGACAAGCACAGAAGCAGGACCACTTCGCAGGAGTGATAGTCTCTCAGTGTGGCTTACTGTATGCACAGAGGCAGGCCGTGAAACCCTACATGGAGACCCCTTCAAAGGGAAGCAGAGAGGCTGAGCAGGAGGAAGACTGGTCCTGGGAGAATGGATAGAGGAAAGAGGAAAGAATGCCCCTGATGAACTCCATCTCTAAAATCTATCCCACATTTTCATGCCAATGATACCCTTGTTTTTTCTGATCATCTATCCCAGGTTGCACCTATATACGTACCATACTTGGCTGTCAGGAAGAGAGAGGTGCAAGAGTGGGTAGGGGTTCTGAGTTCCACCCAGGGACACCATCCTTGTCCTCTGTCTGCAGAGCCTGGAGTACTCCTGAGGATCCAACCTGTCCTTCGTCTACAGAGTCTGGGGTCCTCCTGAGGATCCATCAAGTCTCCTTCTGTCCACAGAGTCTAGTGTCCCTCCTGGGGATCCATCCAGTCCTCCTCTTTAGTGTCCCTCCTGAGGATCCAACCAGTTCTCCTTGATCCAGGACAGGAGACACTGAGGGATTATGATATCACAATGTAATGATTTTTTTAAATCAAATTTTCCTTAGTGCCTAGTACTATGATAACTAAACAGAAACAAACTTCCATAAACCATAGAATCAAGTAGAAACCAGATTAAGGTAAATCCTTCCAAGTCAAAGGGAGAATGAGGTAACTGGACTTATTTCTATATATTCATACAGTTTGAGAAGATACATGCTGATATTTTTTTTCTGGAAATGCATTTATGAATATATTGAGTTCTTTTCAGAAAAATGTTTTATCATACATTCATTGAAAGTGATTTTAAATTGATTATACAATGAAAATATTTAAGCAAATATGGTTTACCAGAGTCCAGTGGTAAACTGTTTGTAGTATGCATTAATATTTTATCCATCTTATGAAAAACTAGAAATGTATATAACTAATATACATGTATGTTTATATGCAGTGTGCACACATATGCTTATGTATATTTATATTTACCTATTTTATCGACATGTGTGTTTGTGTAGAAAACAATGTGACAAAATGAATTTACTGGTAGCAACATTCAGCGGATAAATGTAAGTGTAAAATAAGTCACAGAATAAAATCAGTGTGATAAGCTGATTGCATAAATGATCTCAGTTTTTTTGTGTTTCCTGTGTCTCGTCCTTAGCAATGTAGACTTTTACATGTTCTTAGTGAGACATGGACTTGGTCTTCTACCCTTGAGTCTGGCCTAGTTTTATGATTCACTCTAGCTAGCAGAATGCGGTGGAAGTGACCATAAGCTACCCTTGAGCTCTCACTTCAAGTACTCCTGGTGCCATTACAGCCATCAGAACCAGCCTGAGACAGGATGCTGGAGGAAGAGCAGCCATACAGAGTGGAGCTGAAACAGTCCTGGATAAGCAGCCAGCTGCCAATAACACATCAGGATATAGACTGAGTGACCCCAGAGAAATCAGTCACCTGATAGATTTATGAACACAGGAAGCATGCCCACTGCCACTCGCCCTGCATGTCCTATGGTTGCTCATTACGCAGCGTTATTTTGGCAACGGATAACAGAAACAACCCCACACCTATATAGTACATACAGATATAATAATAAAATTGTTGTAAAACAAATAGCAAAACACAATAAATTGGAATGAATTTCTTTATAGGTAGCCACAAGATACAAATGCCAATATGTTAACATGTTGGTATAAGTAAACTACAACAAAATTAGAACAAATTCCATTCTTATTTTTATGGACACTAAACCATAGTCAGCTGAATAATAGTATCTAGATGATAAGAGAAAAAGATTATTTAATTTAAATAGAAACGAATTTTTATAAAGAGTATCACTACTGAAAGAAAGAAAATGTGAAAATACCTGTTTATTCTGCTCAAAATTTAGAGTGTCATTATATTCAAAGTGAGTTAATTCATCACCCCTTGTGATTTGCTGAATTACTGGTATGCAGTGTGATAGAAATAGATTTTTCTGGTTTTTTTTTCTATTTTTTTTCTTTTGTCTTTTTGAGACAGGGTCTTGCTATGCAGTTCAGTCTGGCCTTGAGCTCACTTTGTAGCCTAGGCTGGTCTCAAACACACAACAATCCTCCTGCCTCAGCCTCCCAAGTGCTGGGATTACAGGCATGTGCCACCATGCCCGGCGATTTTTCTCTTGTCTAATATCAAAATCATTACTATTCTTAGATGAGATTGGGCATGTTCGGAGTGGTATGGCTGTAGACAATTACTATTTTTAGTCAACAGTAGACAAATGATGCACAATCTTCTGTTTTCATACTGGTGCAATCTTAGACTTCCAGCATAGGTAGTATATACATGAGCAGGTAGCCCTGCAACACTAAACGCAGAAGAAAAATAAGATAATAAGGGGAAGTAAAATTTGATAAAGGAAACTAACAGAATAATCAGAGATGTGAGTGGAGAGCTGGAAGAGACAAAGAGGGAAAGATTCTTAGAAAAGAGCCGTCAACAGGGTCAAATGCTGTTGAAAGTTTAGGATGATACTTAAAAGGTTGATTTGATTTGACAGTAGGCCACGGGTGATCTTCGCCAGGGTAGTTTCAATGGCATGTGTGGAAAGATGTCGTTACAGGTGATAAGTGCAGTCCATGGAGATTATTTCTTTGCAGAACTTGGCCATAAGAAATGTGAAGAAATGGTTGCATCTAGAAGGAGATACAGGATCAACTATGCTTTAAAAATTTTCTAAAAGACAGAGATATCCTAAAAAATATTTAAAAAGTTCTCAGTAGAGACAAGAATAAGGAGATGAGCATGTTCACAGAAAAGGTAGGTGTAGGTACAGAGATTAAAATGTTTTATTATTATTATTACACATATTGATTATACACATTTAAATGAAATTTGTTGTGATTTTCCCTCTCTGCGTACACCATGCGTTTATCACATCTACCCACCCACCTTCTGTCCTCTACCTTCCTTTCCCTTTCCTTTCTCCCAGCTCAGCTTTGGAAGAGGTTTGGTTATGGAAGACTGAATTCCACATCGCCTTAGGAGGACAGAGACTGAGGAAATTTGATGAGTGTTGCCTGGGTTTTCCACATGGACACTGAAGGACATTTTTACTCGGTATATAATTACAAGCCAACAAAATGCTCCTGTAAGGGCATTAAAGATGTCTTTCCATGGTGCACTAATATTAGGGGGAGACTTGGGAGGAGATTCAGCAGTTTGGCAATGAGGTACTCAGGCGCCTTCCTTTGTTGCTGTTTAAATTTTGTGTAGGTTTTCTAACCTGGATCTGCGGGATTATTCATGAGTTTTGAAAAATCATTGCCCAAGATTTCTTCTGAGTTTCTCTTTCCCAATTTTTCCTATCCTCTTCTTCTGGGATTCTAAATACAGACTCTAAATATAATGTTATGCTAGAATACTGTTCTGGTTGATTATTTAATTCTTATCTGAATTTCACTCTGGCCGTTTTCTGTTGGTCTGGCTTTGGATTCACTGGCCCTTTCTCCTAACCTGTCGATCTGCTTTTAGCTCATTCACTGAATTCTCCATTTTAGATATTGCAATTATCAGTACAAATTGTTTTATTTGACATAGAGTTTACAATTCTGTGATACAATTCTCATTCACGCCTTCAAGCCATATTTTCTTCCACATTCCTTAACCTGTTCGTAATAATTATTTTCCAAAGCCCTTGTCTGGTAATCCTAAAAACAGACAGTTGTGGGTCTGCCTCTATTATCTGTTCACTTTCCTATTGCTTAGTGGTCACCTTCCCTCTCTTCCCCCTGCACACTGGGCTGTTTTTTAAATGAAAGAACAGTGTAGACTGAAGCATGCAATTCTTCTCTTTGTACTTTTCCTAGAGAGGGTCCTCCACTTCCTCTGGAAGGCGGTGGTGAGGAGATAACCCTCAGGTCCCACTTGGAGAAACTGCAGCATTCACCAGTTTTATTAACATGTCTTTTAAGGGAGGATCTAGAGGTCTATCTGCCTTTCAGCTTAACCCACACATTCCCCGCCACTCTTGGAGACTTCATCCTGTTGGCATTATCAGGACCCACCTGGTAGGAAGGTAAATTTCAGCTGTGATTTGTTTTGGTTTGCTTCTAATTTAATGGCAGGAGGGACCTGGAATCCAATCATGGAGGGAGACCACAAACTCTATTTTCTAGTTCAGCCCAACACTAACTTACTCAGCAATACGCCTTCCAGGGGGGATTACAGTACTAGGCCAGGGAACTCCCAGCCATTAGTCATATAGCAATGTCTTAGTCAATGACAAACCTCATATACAATGGCAATCCTGTAAGATGATAACAAAGGCAAAATACTCCTTCACCCAGTGACATAGCCTTGGTAACATCACAGCACTGCACATTCCTCACGGGTGTAAGCACATTGACTGTGCTTGTGTCCTGTAAGAGTACAGGAGATGCAGTTATGTACAGTAGATATGCGTGATAATGAGAGCACCTGACTATGTTACTGGCTTATGTAGCTAACCTGTTATATTTTAATTTTTATTTAGAGGGTATATCTTGTACTTACTAGAAAAAATCATTTGTTGTAAAACAGTGTGTCTTGTTACACTGGCAGCAACCTCATACATCTCGTGTGTATCGCGTCTTTTGATTGCATCAAAGGCCACATTTGACTGCTCTGTACCATCTGAGTATTTTTGTGTTTTTAGTAAAGCAGACTGTGCTTCCAGTGTGGACAGGCCTCATCCAATCCACTGAAAGTCTGAGTAGAAGAAAAAGCTAAGAAAGAATTCTCTTTCTCTGCCTGATTCTTGAAGCTAGGTTTGCTCCTGCCTTTGGGCTGCACTTAGACCGGGCCTTGTACCGTTGGCTCTCCTGGTTCCAGGACTTTGATCTCATATTGGAACTTACTATGGGCTTTTCTGGGTCTCCATCTGGCCAGCGTGGGACTTCTTGACACCCATAATCACATGAGCCCATGTCTTATAATAAATTATCTATTTAGTCTATGTTCCCTGTTTCTTGAAGAGCACAGTGGAGAGCTCTTTCAGAGTTCTCGTCGTGCCAGCTCCCACTGTTACACATCTGTCTTGCTTGCCCACATCCCTGCCCTATCTTTGTCCACCCCTTTCTACACTACGCATTTGCCCCAAATATGGAAGCAGCTGCTGAGCATTGCTTATCTATGAAGGGGTCATTCCTCTTGAATTTAGTTTGTTTATATGACTTTGGAGTCACTGAGTATTAATAACATACTTTCAGTTTATCTTCTGTCTTTTGCTATAATAAGAGTGTTCTACATCCAATCTGAAAGTGAAACTCCTCTGCATAGAGAGCAGTGCTTTGCAACCATGATGGTAGAAACTGAGGTGGAAATAAAAATTTGAACTACTGTCAAGAGATAATAAGTTTATGAGCACTTGTTGGGCATGTTTTTGGGTGGGGTGGTTCATGTAGTCTGTGATGGTTTGAGTACTTAGGTTGGTCGATGCATATAAAGAAAAGAATAGTATGGTATAACCAGAATCCATAAACTGAAAGGAGAAAGGGACCAAGAGACAAAAGGTTGAGGACATAAGACAGTTTATTTAAATGAGATGAATGGCATGACTTAGACTATACTGTGGAAACAACTGGGAGGAATGTCAGCAGTAGAAAGTAGAAGTGGAGGCTTGGTGGGGTGGTGTGGGGATGGCAGTATTTAAGGAGTGGGTGAGCTGGACTTGCTTGCACTTTGAGAAGTGACAAG